TTGCCTCCCTCGCCCCACCCCCCCCCTCCCACCCCCCGCTTTCCATCGCTGGCTTCCATTAAGAAACTAACGTCGAGGTAGGTTAATGGAGAATTTTTTGACCGTAGTTCTTCCTTCCACGCTTATTCATCACGAGGCATACGCCTCTCTAAAGTAAAACTCGAATTCTGTGCCACCTCTCGACTGTCAGCCGTATTTCGCTTTCTGGAAGGGCATCAATAAGCACCCTAGGCCGGGACCTCTGAATTCGCGAACAGGGATATTAATGCCTGATTCACCAGCTCAAATTTGGGATGTTAGAGGCTGTTAGTTCGAACTTATCCAACATCGGTTGGATGATGGGGAAATTCTCCTTCTCTTTAATCAATACCCAAATCGATTGATTTTTCATTGCGTTTAAAAATGGTCTGGATTGGTCGTGAGATTGTAATATTCTTAGAACTGCCATTCTCTAGTTCATTAAAGATATTATCTCCGTTTTACCATTATAACCTATTTCCAATGTCAATATTATTTTTTTCAAGTGGCAGGCATTTCGATAGTTATCATTAGCCCTTTAGCTGACATCGGACTTCACAGAGGAGAGGAGGAACATCAAAGTGACAAAAAGTCGAGATGGGGGACAGAATAATGATTCACAGATGTAAGAGACAGGCAGACACAAAGACAGATAAAGTGTAAGATGAGTACTGTAGAAGTGGTTGACTATGGCATACAGGGGAGTCATGGTAGTTTGAAGTGAGAAGTCAACTGCCGGTTAATAGACTTTTTTGCCGTATGAGTATGCGTTGCCCGGGGTGCATGACTTGGAGGTAAGTCTATCGCACACCCCCAATACCAATATCATATCAGTATGTGCATTTTTCTTTTGTCAGCTTTGACGTGTGTTACTTGCTTTGAGGTTCTATCAACGTTTTAATACCATTGAGAACTGGCAAATAGACAACAGCCAACCGACTTTAACCACAATTTCTACTAGGTCTTGCCTCGAATACATTCAAATGGAAGGGGGTTATCCCCGGGGAGTGTGGTATCCATCGCGCACGACCGCACAACGAACTTCTGTGGATGAGACTTCTCTCTGTCGTTAAGTATATTCCATTTGTTCGCCCAAATGATTGCAATTCTCACTTGGTATTAAGAAGTAATCTACTTAAGGCTCTTCTTGACTATCTCACGGTTTTCGCAAAACATTATGATGGTCATTGTGGGTGTGCGATAGACTTACCTCCACGCGGTGCAGCTCGGGCAATGTTTTCTCATACGGCAAAAAATGCCCATAAACCGGTAGTGGACTTCTGACTTCAAGCTATCATGACCCGACTGCAAGTCACATTCGATCACTTCCACAGTAATCATCTTGCATTTTCTCTGCCTTTGTGTCTGTCTGTCTGTCTCTTTTACATCTGTGAATCACTCTTTTGTTCCCCCCTCTCCACTTTTTCTCACTTTGATGTTCCTCCCCCCCCCCCTCTGTGAAGCCCGAAGTCAGCTAATGGGCTAACGATAAGTATCATAAAGCCAGCCATTTGAAATACAAACATGATGCTCACTGTTCTTATTGTAGTCACTCTTCACTCAAAGTCATGCGGTCAAGGTGGGGCTTCCCAACCAACTCTGCACTTTTTGCTTGATCAGCTCAACTGTTTGCTATTCTGAGTTCATCTGCATTCATCCATTTACCGGGAGAGAGGAATAGCACCCCTCAAGTCTTATCTGCTGGGCTTGTTTTAAGGGGGTTAGTTGTTGACTTCGTCGACCGAACTAATTAGTGAGGTTCAGCTTGCCCTAATCATTGACGTTATCTAGCATGCATTTACCAATGACGTCTTAAAATTGTGTTGGGTGCTTTCCACAATGTGGGTTGATCTTTTTTCCACGTCTGTTGGTTTTCATGCATATTCGCCCAACAACTGTTAAAAATAGTGTAAGCATTGAATGAAAGTGTGTGTTCTTACGCAAGTTATTTAGTAAATATATATATATATATATATATATATATATATATATATATTTTTCCTCTTATATTTACTGGGAGGGATATTGACGATTTGCGTCAAGCGTTGTTTTTAACGTCGTGTTACAATTATGCCTGGTGATTCAGAGGTTATTTTTTTATAAAGGAGAGTGTGAGAGCTTAACCTTAAAGGAAATGTTGAATTGGGTAATTAAATTTCTTCTCTAAAGACACGTCATGGGAACTATATTAGAGGCCTTAATTTCGGCGATATTTCAAAACAGTTCAAAATTTCATCTTTTACAGCCTTGACTCTGCAAATTTACTCCGTTAAGCCCGTATTTCTTACATGCTTACACTGTTTAATGAAATTGAGGGAGTCTATGGCAAAATATGGGGGATGTCTATTTTGGCCTTAAAATTTCACTACGTGAACGCTTGAAATGGATGCGCATCGCTTTGGTTTTCTTTTTTGCATAGATTTTATTGCAAATTTCATCCCATTGTTTTAACTGACAATTGGAGAGGATTTTATGCAACAAAGGTGATATGAAGGTGGTCGTATTTGTTCTTACCAATCTTATTTGCCATCATGTGAGTTGCACTGAGAGGGAGAGAGAGCCTTTGTGACAGCCTTGACGCCTCTCCGCGTGCTTTGAGCATTAAGAAATTATATAGCAAACTGTGCGTAGACAACTTATAACCTTCCCCCTTCACACACACACCCCCCCGGCATAATCTAATAAAGATTTGTATCAAATTGCAGGCTTTATGATAGTTATCATTAGCCCTTTAGTTGACTTCAGGCTCCACAGAGGGGAAGGAACATCAAATCGAAAAATGTCGATAGGGGGGGGGGGTGGGAACAGAAGAGTGTTTTAAAGATGTAAAAGAGATAGACACAAATGTTGATGAAAGGTGAGGTGAGTACTGTGAAAGAGGTCGAATATGACATACAGTCGGGTCATGATAGTTTGAAGACAGAAGTCAACTGCCGGTTTATAGACTTTTTTGCCGCATGAGTATGCGTTGCCCAGTGTGCACCACGTGGAGGTAAGTCTATCGCACACCCCACTTCTAATAAAGAAGGATTTGTCATTTTGATCTCACTTTCTGCTTCTTCTTCTTCTTCTTGGCTCCTTTCTGCCCTCCAAATGTGTGGATATTTTGTGCTTAACAATTGAATGTTGGATGCTTTCAAGCTTGCATCCCATTCGCTAATCGTATAGTAGCAGTAGTGGCCTCCTTTATAATAACCAAAGGAAGTATTCATTTACTGGCTTTGCTTTAAAAATGAAATACAATTTTAATCAATCTTTGACTACGCTTTATTCTCCTTAGGAGTGGAATCCACGCCAATTCCTGATTGGTTGACCCTCTTACCGGGAGTTCAAACTAACCCTCGCGCGGGAACAGTTGTTCCGGGCACCCTGGATCGTATCATTGGAATGCTCAGCGTCGCCGCGGAAGAACTTCCAGACTGTCCGTTCTACTTCCAGTCTGATAAACTCTGCTCAACCATCCGTGCTACAGTGCCCAAAATGTCCCTTCTTAGGTGAGTTTAGAATCTCATATCTTTATAGTGTTGATTTCATATTTTTGGCATATATAGTTGCTTTTATCAAGTGCTCTGGTAATGACGAAGACACGTAGAGTTTGTCGAATAGAGTGGAAGGCGCGATTGGGCCCTTATATAGTCTCTACTACTCACCCTAGGCTTCGATGACGAGACCTGTTGATAACAAGGCGGCTGATTATGGCAGCTTTGTTTTGAAAGAATGAGTTAGAGGAACGGTGATTGTCTAATAGGGTGCTTAGTCTTAAAATGTGCCAAAAAATTCATATGTGAAAGTGGGTTGGTTTCTGCAGTAATTCCTGTTAGAGTATTATGTACTTCACTCGCGAGACAGTTTTAGACTTTGTTCATAAAATTTTGCAAGAAATAGCAAGTGTGGATAAGTCACCTTTGCTGTCTATTTTTGCTTCACATTTTGATGCTCTGGTTTGTAATTTAGAGCAAACAGAAGGTGAATGCCATCTGAATTCAATTATAAAAATTGTAAACAAGTGACCTGAAACGGGGAAGATCCTATCGTTTTCTCCATCAATTTGATCGTCATCCACTTTTCTGTGTGTGTGTGTGTGCGTTCGAGCTATTACAGTTATTTGCCGAAATTCCTGACTTCTCAAATATTCGCCCAAATTATGTTCTCTTGCATTACTGCATTCGCATCTGATTGTGGGGAAAGCTTTTAATGCTGTGAATTTATTGGTGACTTTCAAGGTCATATCCGGAAGCTTTTGTAAGGCCTAACTTTTGATTAAAACACGATTTTACCACCTGTTGATGATTTTGTTGTTAGTTGTTATTGTTCAGAGCGCGCCGAGAATTCGATCGTGTTCACAAAACGCGAGTTTCGTTACGTTATCCATTTTACTGAAAGTTTCTTCCCTACTTTGAGTTGTGGAGAGCACTGTTTTGCCCTGTGAGCTTCTAACTTAGAGTGCGTTGAGCAGGAGTAGTTTTCATTACGCATCCGATTTTATATCCAGTGCAACTGGAAATGACGCTTTGTTTGAATTTTTGCCTGTGCATAGGCACTCACTCGCGGTTTCACAGACCATCTAGAACTCAATTCTAGAGCCTGTGGTCATAAGTTGGGGGGTGCCAATTATTGCGTCATCTTTGCAGCTATTTATTTATTTATATCAAATGGCAGGCTTTATGATAGTTATCATTAGCCCTTTAGTTGACTCCAGGCTTCACAGAGGGGAAGGAACATCAAATCGAAAAAAAAGTCGAGAGGGGGGGGGGNCGAGAGGGGGGGGGGTGAACAGAAGAGTGTTTTAAAGATGTAAAAGAGACCGACACAAAGGTAGAAAAAAGGTGAGGTGAGTAGTATGAAAGAAGTCGAATATGACAAACAGTGGGGTGATGGTAGTTTGAAGTGAGAAGTCAACTGCGTCAATGGGGTGATGGTAGTTTGAAGTGAGAAGTCAACTGCCCATTAATAGACTTTTTGCCGTATGAGTATACGTTACCAAGGTTGCACCACATGGAGGTAAGTCTATCGCACACTTCCTTTTTGCAGCTATCTGAACTCCTACTCCAATGCGCGTGTGTGGATATTGGAATGTGTGGAGCCAATCTCTCTTCTGATTTAAAACCTTGAAACGTGCTCGATGAGTCATTGTTGTATTGACTCCTCTTCGTATGCCCTATTCTCCCCTTGTTGCAAGTACCCACCAATTGTACTCCGATTCAGCAGCATGGCAAGATTCATGCTGATTTTTTTTGTGCTCCTAATGCGTCAAAGACATTCCTGCGTTCGTGCTCTTATTTCACTTGAAGTTACTATGGCAAAGAGGAGGAGGGGGAGGAGCTGGGCATAATTCAACCAATAAACTAACCGTCGAATCACACTCCATTATTAATAATGACAACTTGACTCAGAAACCAGATAATGTGTAGCGATGTTGACAATTTGTTTGTTCTACGTTTGTTCATTTGTATGACGTGTGTGTGTCTTTAGGTGGGAGGTGTTTCGAAATTTTTTAGATAAAATGATCCCACCTGATCGGCAAGTAACAAATAAAATTATTATTATTATTTCAAATGGTAGGCGTTTTGAATATTTATCATTAGCCCCTTTGCTGACTTCGGGCTTCACAAAGAGGAGGAGCACCAAAGTGAGAAAAATTCGAGAGGGGGAACAAAGGGGTGATTCACAGATGTAAAAGAGACAGACAGACAGACACAAAGGAGAAAAGGTGAGGTGAGTACTGGACAATCGAATATGACATGCAGTGGGGTCATGGTAGTTAGAAGTCAACTGCCGGTTTATAAACCTTTTTTGCCGTATGAGTATACGTTGCCCATGGTGCACCA